CAATGTCATAAAACAATATGTGTACTACTGTTTCATGAGAAACTATTTGTTCTGTAAGCCTTCACCTGAAGTACAATAAAAAAAAAAAAATGGTTAAGATGGCAGATTGTATGTTTACATATTTTACCACTATAAAATTCTGAAAATATTGCTATAAGATTCTATACCCGTAATTTGGCACAAATTAAACTTTACCAATGCCAAATATTCGAAAGGATATGGAGCAAGAGGAATTTTCATTATCTTCCAGGAGGACTATAAAGTGGTACAACCACTTTGAAAGTGTCTGACATAACATAGCCATGTAAGACATTTGCAAACTCTATGATGCAGCAATTCTATTCTTAAACATGCAGCATAGTGAAAGTCTTGCACATATGCACCAGAAGACACATACAAAAATGTCCAGAATATCAGGTCTGCCATAATGCTAGAAATAGAAAACATTCTTATTTGCTTCCTACATATCTTACTTTTCCCTTCACTATATCACATTCTGCCTCACGCTGACACATGACTTTTCTCTACCCACGGGTTTGCTTTTTTAATTTTTGTTGTTGTTGTCTTGTGGGTTGTATGTATGATCCTATGCCTTGTGAGGACCCCTCCATCAACTAATAATATCCAGGACGATGTACTGAGAAAAAAGAAAAATACCTATGAAATGGAGTTACTGGGTCACACCTGCTCTTTGCATGTAAGCCCTCATATTAGCCTTTGCATATTAGATACTGTCCCAGGCACAAGGTGAGTGATCCAAAGATTTAAATAAATGAATGAATGGATACTTGCATCCATTGACTTCACTTCCTACTTCCATCTTCCAATCCTTTCAAAGTGTTTCAAAAGCAACCTCTTCCGGAAGCATTCTTAGGTTTCTCAACCTCAATCTGAAGTATTTTTACCCTGTTTTTCATGTGTACACTGTGCTCCATTACTTTCATTGCACTCTGCAGGTCCTCTCAAATCACATTTTGTGCATATGATATTATTTCCCCAAGGTCAACGCTAGCTCTATGGGAGCAGGCACTGCATTTCAGATACATACATATAGAAGACATGAAATAAGGATCTGGTCATTAAATGCAAAGATTCTTTCAGTCAAGCTATTTTTTGTGTGTGCATGTTCTTCCTCTTCATATAATCGTCTAATTGTAATATACTGGAAGACATTAATCCCTCCACATAGAACATACAAAAGCCTTCCCTGAAGATGGGTAGACATTTACCATATATGATGCAGCAGCTAAAGGTTAGAAAGAGCTCCTAAATATGATTCTATTTTGGTTTTTATCCTTTTTTTCTCATGTATCCTCTGCTACGTTAATTTTCACTGACCGCTTGCTTTCAAATAATTTCATATGCATATGATATTAGTATTTTTAGTTAGAATGTAAGCAGAGCTATACATGAGGTGGCAACAAAAGTTTAGAAGGAGCTCGCAAATACAATCCTCTTTCAGACAATAATTTTTTTAGTCACTGAGAATCTTTCACAGGAGAAGTCTCAGACTCACCCTTATTGAAGAATGTGCTAACCATAAAGCTGAAGAATATTGAGGCGATGGCAAAACACAGCAAAAAGACGAAGATGAGAGATGGGTCGCTGTGTTGGAGAACTGGAACAGGTTCAATCTAGCAAAACAACCAGGAAGCCAGTTTAGTCATACTCTAAGCAATGTCACAGCAAAACAAAACAGGAAAAGTGAAACAATCTTAAATATATTTTAACAGTCCTTGTGAGGCTGATGACATTTCCCAGTGAGACGGAGACTTAAATAAACAATTCATTTCTTATAGAGCTCCACCCATCCAGATTTAAGTTTTATTTGCTGAGAATAAGCAGCTTCTGAGTTTCCACATTTTCATTCTCCTGGCAACCTGGGCCCCATTCAGCCCACAGCATGTTTCTGTTTTCTTCTCAAAATATAGATGTGGGACACTGCAGTCAAGCAGACACTTGCCTTGGCGAAGAAAATCATGCACATGAAAAATATGACAATTAAATACAAAAACAAGAATGTGATGAAATAGGCAGCCCAGAGCATCCAATTACGGAATCCTATCATGAGCTGGTATTCCTGTAAGAGAATTAACACAAACCAATTATCATGTAAAACAATAAAGTGCCTTGGAGTTTCAAAATGCATTCACAATAATTATCTGATTTTATTTCCACAACAACCAAACTAGGTAAAATAATAAATATTTTTTTATAGAGGAGGAAAACAAGGCTCAGAATGTCAAATAACTTGATTACAAGTATCAGCTAGTGAATGCCAAGGTTGATTCTAACCCAGATCTTATGAGCTCAGACATCATTCCCCCAACACTTTACCTGATATTATTCAGACATGAAAAACACTAAAGTGAAAGTACAGAACACTTAATTTCCCCTTTCTTTCTATTACGTCCTCTTACAAAAAGTATTAAGACAATGTAAGTATATCTTAATTCTAGGTCAGAAACAAACAAAACCAGCTTAAAAAGTAAGGGGGCGAAAAAGCTCACAGAGTTTTAGCAGTATATTTATGAACTATAAATATTCTTTATAAGTAGTTGCTTATAGACATATGTGGTATTTCAAATTTTAACAAAAGAACATCAGAATGGTTTAGCTAACAACATAATTTATGAGACCAATAAGATTTTAAATGAGCGGTAGTGGTACAAATTGTCAGAGCCTATTTTAAAATTTTTTATTGAATTTTACTGATAAATCAATATTAAATTCTGTGACTTTAAGGCTCCATGAGGGCAGGAACTATGTCTTCTTATCTGTATCTACCTGGCACATAAAAGGTATTTAATAAATGTTTGTTGAATGAACAAATGAATCAATGTGAGGATCTTCAGTAATCTTACTTTGCAGATTTCTGAAAAATGGATGCACAGCCAGTGGGAGAACTGAAGTCTTGATACCTGCTACAGTATGAATGGAGCTTGAAGACATTATGCTTAGTGAAATAAGCCAATCACAAAAGGACAAATAGGCAAAAAGACAAGAAAAGGCAAATGTATAGAGACCAAAGTTTTTTAGTGGTTACCAGGGTGGGACAGAGAGGGCAGACAGGGTAAACAGTGACAGAAAAATCACATTAAGGGTAGGTGTTATGGATTGAGTTGTGGCCCCCAAAAATGTGTGTCAACTTGGCTAGGCCATGATTCCCAGCATTATCTGGTTGTCCACCATTTTGTGATCCGATACGATTATCCTATGTGCTGTAAATCCTAACCACTATGATGTTAATGAAGCAGGATTAGAAGCAGTTATGTTAATCAGGGAGAACTCAACCTACAGGATTTGGTTTTATCTTGAATCAATCTCTTTTGAGATATAAAAGAGAAGCAAGCAGAGAGGAGTGGGACTTCATACCACCAAGAAAGAAGCGCCAGGAGCAGAGCGCATACTTTGGACTCGGGATCCCTATGCTGAGGAGCTCCTAGACCAGGGGAAGATTGATGACAAGGACCTTCTCCCAGAGCCAACAGAGAGAAAGATGTTTCCCTTGGAGCTGGCACCCTGAATTCAGAGTTCTAGCCTCCTAGGCTGTGAGAAAATAAATTTCTGTTCATTAAAGCCATCCGCTAGTGGTATTTTTGTTATAGCAGCACTAGATAACAAAGACAGAATTTGGTACCAGGAGACTGGGGTGCTGCTCTAACAGATGCCTACAATGTGGAAGCAGTTTTGGAATTAAGTAATTGGTAGAAACTGGAAGAGTCTTAAAGCACCTAATAATAAAAGACTAGATTGCCTTGAAGAGACTGTTAATGGAATTATGAACATCAAAGATAATTCTGGTGAGGATTCAGAAGGAAGTGAGGAAAGCTGTAACACTGGAGACAGCACAGATGGCAAGAAGCAGCAGCAGAGAAACGGCGGCAGCAGAACTAGGAGATGGGCATGAGACACTACAGGAGCCGACCCACAAAGCAAGAGAACTGAGTGCTTTTGCCCAGGAGGCTTCCTGGCTGAGTAGGGTATCTCCAGGCACTTATTGGTGGACCTAGGTTTGCTGACCCAGGGAGCAAGAGAGCTGAGTGCCTTCTGGCTGAGGTTACTGGTGGAGTAGGGTGTCTCCAGGCACTTATCAGTAGAGCTAAAGAGCTTTGGAATACTTGACCAAGAGGTTGGGCTAGTCCAAGAGGCCTGAGGGGCTGAGGGTCCAAAGCGCTGAGAGGCCAAGGAACCAGGAAGCAGAAGCTGAATAAACAAGGAAAACAGGAGGCAAAGCTGCCTCAGTCTCAAAGGTGGGACCATGATCTCTGGGGTCTCAAAGGGTGAAGCCATGACCTCTGGGGCTTCAAAGGGTAGGGCCACAGCCTCCTAGGCTTCAAAGACTCAGATCTTTATCAACTCGGTTCCAGAGTGTGGGGCTGCCTTGTAGGAGTACCAACAGGATGGGGCCAGATCTACTATCAAAGCTGAGGGGGTAAGGCTACCACGCCCAACAGGCAGAAGAATGGGGCCTGCCAGGGCCAAGGGAGTGGGGTCGGCACTCAGATGGACTAGGAGAATGGAGTGGCCCAAATGCGAGGGAGCAGAGTTGCCATTCCAGCGGGCCTGGAAGGTGGACCTGAAGCCCAGGGCCCAGGGGCCTCCACCTAGAGTCTGGAGATGTGGCCAACATCCAGAGTCTGGAGGACAGGGCCATTGCATAAATGGTCTCAGAGAACAGAGGATTATTTTCAAGCCTTGAGAGCTAATATAATGTGTTCTGCTGACTTGCTTGGTGCCTCTTATGCCTTCTTTCCCTCCAATTTCTCCCACTGGTAACGGAAATGTATACTTTGTGCTTGTTCCACCATTGTACTTTGGAAACATATAACTTGTAGTCTAGATTTCACAGATGAAGAGTAATTTTGCCCCAGGATGGAGTTTGGACTTAGAGTTGATTTAAGACTTTTGGGATGATATGATGGGGTCAATGTTTTTTACATTTGGCAAGGAGGTGAATTTTGGGGGCCAAAGGATGGAATGTTATGGATTGAATTGTGCACCACAAAAATGTGTGTCAACTTGACTAGGCCATCATTCCCAGGATTGTGTGGTTGTCCACCATTTTGTGATCTGATGTGACTGTCTTATGTGTTGTAAATCCTAACCTGTATAATGTTAATGAGGCAGGATTAGAGGCAGTTATATTAATTAGGTGGGATTCAATCTACAGGATTTGGTTTTATCTTGAGTCAATCTCTTTTGAGATACAAAAGAGAGAAGTGAGCAGAGAGGAGTGGGACTTCATACCACCAAGAAAGAAGCACCAGGAGCAGTGCAGGTCCTTTGGACCTGGGGTTCCTGCACTGAAAAGCTCCTAGACCAGGGGAAGACTGATGACAAGGACCTTCTCCCACAGCCAACAGAGAGAAAAAGCTTTCTCCAGGAGCTGGTGTCCTGAATTCAGAATTCTAGCCTCCTAGACTTTGTGAGAATAAATTTCTGTTCATTAAAGCCATCCACTTGTGGTATTTCTGTTCTAGCAGTGCTAGATAACTCAATGAGTAGGGTTGACAGCCAATTATTCTAATTGCTGTCAAGTTGTTCACCTGCAAAAAGTTGAATTGGCAAAAGCTGTGTAACAGATATATTTACAACAAAGACAAATACAATAAAGAGTAGCTGCTGAGGCTACTTATGTACAACGAAACACCTCATGGGATCTGGTTCCTTAGTTTAGTGGTTTAGGGTCACAGTTTCATGGGACATCCCAGTTAATTGGCCTAATAGTGTGTTTAGTGCTTCTGTTCTACCTCTGAGTTCACTGCATAGTGCCTGCGGTCTTAAAAGCTTGTAAGCGGCCATCCAAGCCATAACAATTGGTCTCTATTTACCTGGAGCAAGAGAGAAAGGACAGTCAAGAACAGGAGTAATAGATGAACACGTGGCTAACTGCCTCGAGGAACAACTGCCTTCTCTGCTATGAGATTAGAACTGGATGGTGCCTGGCTACCATTACTGAACATTTTGATCAAAAACTCCATAGAAGAATCCTGATCAAAGGGGGGAAGGGGGAAGGCAGAACAGAATTTCAAATTCTAATGGACTCTAGACTTTCTGGAGGTTGGATGAATCCCTGAAACTACTGCCCTGAGATAATCTTTAAATCTTAAACCAGAAATATCCCCTGAAGTCTTCTTGAAACCAAACAATAGTTTAGCTTAACTCATAAAAAGTTTGCCTTGAACACTGTGCTCTTTTAAGATCTATATGGGATCAAATTGACAACAGCAACTTGAAAGATTAGATAGGAATCTTAGGGGGTAGTGAGTTTATGTTAATCAGGGAGGAACAACTCAGAAAAGGAGGGTGAGAGTGGTTGCATAACTCGAAGAATGTAATCAATGTCATTAAATTGTACATGAAGAAACTGCTGAATTGGTGTATTGTTCTGCTGTGTATATTCTCAACAACATCAACAAAATAAAACTTAGAAAAAAAATTTATGGAGATCTATTTTACATAAAGGACAAAAATAGATAAAGTCTTTTTTTTTTGTTTTTTTGTTTTAGGTTTCATAGGGATCAGTGCTACAACCAATTGTACTTAATAAACAATCAAAATGACAGCATATTTAACAAAACTGCAAGATTTATACACTGAAAACTACAAATATTGTTGAAGAAAGAAGACCTAAATAAATGGAAAAACATTCTATGAGCATGGATCAAAAGACTTAATAGTGTTAAGATGGTAAAACCCGTTGCTATCAAGTCGGTTCCAACTCAAACAGTGACCCTATAGGACACAGTAGAATTGCTGTATAGGGTTTCCAAGGAGTGGCTGGTGGATTTGAACTGCTGACCTTTTTGGTTTGCAGCCATAGCTCTTAACCACTGCACCACCAGGGCTCCATTAAGATGGTTATGCCCCACAAACTGGTCTACAGATTCCACACAGCCCCTATCAAAATCCCTGCTGGTTATTTTACAGAAATTGACAAGAAGAATCTAAAATTCATATGGAAATTCAAAGAATTCAGAATAGCCAAAACAATCTTAAAAAGTAACAAGGTTGGAAAACTTACACTACCCAATTTCAAAACTTACTACAAAGCTACAATAATCAAGACAGTGTGGT